TGGTGCACCCAAAGTTATAAAGCATCGACGATTCCAAAATAACATCCAGCACAAAAAGCAAACAGTCCTTCAAGGACGGCACAATCTGACAGCTGGGGACGGCACAATCTGACAGCTGGGGCCCTTGTAGTGCTGTAAACGTGAAGGTCTGGGAAGGGCCCCACACTTGGAAACTTTTACTCTCAGAATTCTGTAATGTGCACGTGACTTGCAAGAGTTAATTGTATCCAACTCTATTCATGTGTATCTACACATATAGATGCGTATATATATATATATCATATGTGTGTTCTCCCTCTCTCTCTCTACGTGTGTAGTATCCACAACTTAAACGCACCTCCACACCCAAGCAACACAAATCGACGCATGCGCACACATATTTGAGGGTATACTTACAACATAGCTGTCTCGCCGTCTCTCTCAATTTGTCTGTCTCACTCAATCTCCCTTTCTCTCTCTCTCTCTCTCTGTATAAATTATAATGCACATGATGTGCAAGAATTGCTCCCTCTGATAAAGCTGAGACGGCATAGCTGACGAAACCACACTTACAATAAGTTACCTGTCCCCAGTTTTTGCTCTTGCTGAGGGAACACATGATATGCTAGGGGTCACTTGAAATATTGAGAAGCACTGCGCTGAGTTGCACACCCGTGTCTACCATCCTGAATGGCTTTCAACGGAACAAGCACAGGACACCCTTTCCATTTTAGGGCAAGCAACCCCTTTAGGCGGAATCTGCTGCCTCCGGAAACGGTTTTCAAGGACCGGATCCCCAACAGCAGCGCCCAGTTGGTCAAGGCACGCAGCGATAAAGCTGCGATGGAGTCGCGCAGGCCGTGCAGCGCCCGGTGGTTGTATATTTGAGTATTTATGTCATTCAAATTTTGATACTTTGATATATGTTATCGCAATACCTAGAACACAATTGATATACATATAAATATGAATATACATATGAACATAACTCTCAATCAATACATAAGAATGAAGAAAGTCAAAAACACATAAATACATAAATACATATTTCCCTCAAAACCCGACACCTGCAGCTTAGGGAAGGCAGGTCTTTGAGACGGATGTTCCCAGAAATGGGCTCATTTCAATGTTGGCAGACTTGGCAAATTATTCATTCAGATTTGCCACACATATAAATAGTACTTGATTCTGCTTTCTGAACAAACTATCAGTGTCATTATTCCTCTTGATCCGTGTTTCAATCATTCTGGTCATAAACTAAAATCTAGTTAAACACAAGCTAATGTTGAACATAGCATCAGAAGCAAAGCTATGTACAGTGCAAAAGCAATGTTAGGATACCTTTTCATACATACATCTCAGGAGTTGTCAAACATGTCAGTCAACCATAAAAATAATAAAAACAATAATAATAATAATAATAATAATAATAATAATAATAATAATAATAATAATAATAATAATAATAATACTAATAATAATAATAAACACACATCTGTTTTCAAATGCAAACACTGATGTTCTCTGGCGTGATTAATGCTCAAATGTGCCCATGTGAGTTTGCAACGTTACCCTAGGGTGCTGGCTCCAAAGACACGGTACCCCTTCTGCTTCGGCTACGCATCTTCCATTTCTCATATCGACTAACGCGCAACTCCTCTTCGTCTGTCAACTACCTTACAAACCAGTGCCCATACTAAAACATCGCCAACACCCATTCCATCCCTATCTCCACTCATCTGCAAACCAGTATGGACACTAGGTCCTCCAGTAGAGAGGTTAGAACAAGGGTACCCTTTTTTCTGTAGTCTGTTTTTACTACGGGAACCCTCCCCCAAAAAAGCGTGAGAAAGGGCACTACTGGGGGACTTAGGAAAGCCACGGACAGCGTTCAGCGGGAACGTGTTTCCAAGCGGCACGGAGGACAGGAGTTTGTAGAGGTTACAAATGACATCTTGGACGTGAACAAACCATCGCACGTTTCACCCAACAGCACAACCCTTCTCGCAATCGAAACAGGACCGCAGAACAACATAAATTTCACCCCCGAACAAGTGTAAACAAACGCAGAGATGCGTGGGCTCTTTGTCAAATCAAACTCGCTGTCGTCAGCTGTCCCAATCAGTTGGCTGTCAACGCAGCATTGTTGATTGAAGTCTCTGCCATTCGATTCGATGTGCATGGGCCCGATGAGCTACAACGCACAACAGCTTGGCAACATTCACCTGATGCGCAAAGCGCAAAATCGAAACAAGACCACTCAACAACAGACATATCACCCTTAAAAAATATCACCCCTCCAAAGAAGTGTACAGAAGCGTAAACCAGCGAACATAAACAAGTGTAAGCAAGTGTTCACTGATGACCATCGGCCACAAAGCACCATGCCACCAGCATCATCGACAACCTGCACCACGAGCATCCCTACCGAATGCAGTCAATGCTGGTGTCTGCAAAAACAACTAGTATGACCTGATCTCGCCCACAAAGGCCATCTTGCCAAAACAAAAACACAACTCAAAACACAATCCGAAAAACTCAATCTGGAGAACTGCAAATTTGGGAAGACTCAGGAAAGACTCAGAAACTGAGAAAATCTCAGGCTTGAACTCGAACCCTCCACTTGAGTTTGAAGCTGAGTTTGTGTACTCAAAAACAACTCAAACAACTCGAACAAATCAGCTCCACACTCAGATTCAAACTCAAGCGGGGGGATCGAGTTCAAGGCTGTGTTTTCTGAGTGTTGCCGAGCTGAAGGCTGAGTTGTTTCTGTGTTTTGTTGAGTCTTCCCTTGTGTTTTTTTGTGCTTGTTGTGTGTTGTTTTGAGTCAATGTTTTCAGGTGAGTGTTGTGGCAGAATATTCTTTGAGTTTTTTTCAGAGTTTTCTCCCGTGCTTCTGCAAATCCAGCCCGCTTGGTGATGAAACTAATTTCTTTGAACGGAATCTGATCTGCAGAGAACTTGCCGAAGCCTGCAAAACACCTTGAAGCCTGCAAAACACCTTGTGTTTGCAGTGTTTTCAAGATCCAAGGGTTGGTGTGGATTTCTTTCAGTCTCTTGAATCATACTCGAATTAGCTGCATTTACTGGCGCATGTCCAAAAGGAGGTTAAAGTGCACGCTCAATCAGGAATGGGCTGAGAGCAGACGCTTGAAACTTTTGGATCTAAGACTCCTCAAGATTCAAGACTCTCAGGCTCTTGCTCTTGAATCTGCCAGCCAGCTGAGCGCTTGGGGTGCCCCATAGTGAATTCAAGATTCAAGATCTAGAGTCCTGAAAATATTCAAGCTTTTCTTCCGGACACAGTCACTGTCAATTGTGCAAATGCAGGCACCGTTAAATGCTCAAATGCGGGGTAGCTGAACAAGGGGAGGACATCGCCAAATAGTACTGTAAATACAGTCAAATTATCTTGGCGTGTTTGTATGCGTGCCCGTGTTTTTCTTTATCAGTTTTTTGGGGAGGGGGGTTTTCTTACTTGAGACTTGAACATTTACTACGTATATATATATATACATCTATACGTATTGACTGTCAGAACTCAAACATAGTATAATACCAAAAACAAAGTTTGAAGATTGAAGTTTACTATTTTTGCATACTTCGTGCTTTTATATACTACTTGTGTCAGAATTACACCACAAATGTCAAGCTCTTGTGCAAAGATTTAGTATCTAGCTTCCAGAATGAGCTATGTACTTGTGATTGCATATAGATATAACTAATCTATAAACTTTCAACACTGTAATCATTCCATTTTACATGTTCTATCCAAGTTTGTGTTCTTAATATATGTACGTGTATATATATATATACAAAATACAAGCGGGCGTCGTAAGTCACCCCACGTCGCGTTAAGTCACCCCAGCCATCCCCAGCCGCTTGGAACTACGCAAATCCGTTTAAGTCACCCCATGCTTGTTAAGTCACCCCATTTCTTGCAAAACACAATGGGCACAGAACTGGAAGGGCGATGTTGCCAACCCCAAGAATTCACCGCACACTGCACGCACATGCTCAAAACTCACTGGTTTGGGTTCATGTTGAATGCGTTTCCCGGGCATAACCCTATTGGGCACACTGCAATTAAAGGGTTCTTATCCTTCACCGCATCACGGCTAATACGCAGCCCTGACACCAAGTAGGGCTAAGCCAAGCCAGGGCTAGTAAAAAACAACCGGTTCCGGGCCGGAACGCCCGTCAAAAGGGCTGCCGGAGCGAGTGCCGCGCGACTCTGCGCGAGTGCAGCGCGAGCGCTGGGTGAGCCGTGCCCTCATCCCAATGAAGATTGCTTCCGCTTGTGGCACACCTGCTGCGGCACGAGAAGAGAGAACCACCCAGTGGCAGTGAACATACACGCATGGGCACCTTTCTGTCAAGATACCTTGAGTAGAACATCATACACTTTGCATGCGCACAGCACAGAATTATGCGATTTCATTGAGATAACTATCCTTACATCCACAAACACAACGGGCACACTCACCCGGGACGACTTAGATCAACCCGGGACGACTTACAGCACTTACCCTGTATTTCACATACACACATTTATTGACTAACTACCACAATCCAATATGTACGCATATTTATTAAACACGCATCATCATTTAAATAGTCATGGTTACGGTCAAAGTGCTTCTATATATATATATAAAGCAACTTATCATTTGTTCTATTCCATCTTACGTCATTCTTGCATATTAATCTAATTACTGCTTGTTCGTAGTATACAATTTACATAAGGTACTATATAACCATAGTTTATGCACAAATTACAGTAATCATATATTGATATATAGTTTACACATTAGTAAGTATAGGATTCATCAACTAATCAAACCCACATAGACACACTAAATGTAATACTCATCAATCTCATTATGCTCATCTAGGTTCACATTTATTGTAAGTCTATACCGGTTGACCAGCTAAAGAGTGAACTCAACTGATCTAGTACTTGCAAGTACCAATAAAAGATAAGTCAAGGATTGGATGGCTTGATGGATTCAAGCCTTGATGAATTTCCCCAAAGGCGGAGTCTGGTTCAATCAATGCCGAAGTTGGACATATGGATATACATGCATGAGTCAACTTTTTAGGCGGCGTTTCAGCTGATAATCTTGATGGCCATGATCTTGATGTCAACCAGCGGCCTGCGCAAGTGCTCAGGTTGTCCATCGGCGACGGCAGCGTTAGACTCATTGCATGCAATGACACCTTGGCAAAAAAGGGCGACTGCGCATGAACGCCGTCAGCCTGCAAGCAACTTCAGGCAGGATGACACCAGCCTGTCGTCACAGTTGGTCTGGGTCTTTTCAATGTTCTGCACCTGGCCAACAGGAGCATAGAACAAGTCCTTCTGCAAGCCTGTGTAGTGAGACGCTCAGCACAAATGTTGGCAACCTGATACGTTTCACAGACTTTGTCGACAAGTAGCGCTTTTAGCATCCTAACACGGGAAGTGTACATTGATGTTTCGTTATATGCCACAAAAACGGAGGCAAACCAAAGAATCTCGGCGGATCCAATGGATCCACGCCTTCCAAACCCAAAGTGCAAAAGTCTGTAGGCCCCACCGTCTTTGGCCTCTCATGATGTGGCCATGGGTCAAAATCCAAAGCCCCAACCCCCAGTGAACATCAACCAATCCAACCACTAAAACAGGTTCTAAAATGGGTGGTGAATTCACCTACCGCAAAATGGTATCCCATTGGTTTTGACCCACAGCCATGTTTCTTTGCGAGGCGACAATGGCAGAAGCACGTTCTTGCACCCCAACCTGCGTGCATCCTGATTTACCTGCGTGCATCATCCTGATTTGGGTCTTGCTCAGAATTCGGGGCACCCCAAGGTGATTGGTTTCACCGCACCGGCCGGGGCATGGCAACTTTTTGTCTACTCGGCCAGACTTGGACCGCCGGCCTGGTCAAAAGAGATCAAGGAGACCAAGGGCACACAGCAAAAAGGCGAGATAAGTCGGGCCGTAAAGATCCGTTTGCCATCAAAATGGTGTCTGCCAACATCAGGCGGCGGCGGCCTGGGAGAAACAGCGGCACTTGTCTTGTCACAATTTTCAATCGAGCCGTCCGCCCCATCCTCCACCCGACCAAAAAGAAAGCTCAAGTGATGTCCTGGGTTCTGCAGATGGAAAAGGTATAAAGGCACACCCCTCTCAACGCTTTGTTCCCATTCAGCGTACGGATTGGATGCGAAGTGTGTGATTCAAGCCAGCAAACAAGCACGCGTGCGGAATCGTTCAGTTTTCGCGCGCTAGTTCCTTTGCTTATGACCTGGCATGTCTGATTGGGATCGCGATTTGTAGGTTTTTGTTGTTCCTTCTTAGGGGTTAGGGTCTCCACGCTTGGCGGTTGCAAAACGGCACACGCAGGAGGGGGGGAACAAGCCGCCGCAACAAGCCCATCCGACGAGGCGCAAGCCAAGCATCACAAGCCATTGCGACCACTTGAGACGGAGCAAACCAAGCCGACCACCCTGGGACCCACCACGACGTCCCGGAGACCTTGCTCCGACCCGCCCCGGAACCCTCCTCTACCTCAGAGCCGCCCCGGACCACCCCAGAGCCTATCCGGGCTGAGACCCCATAGCCTTCAGCTGTGTGTATGTGGCTCAAAATAGTTTTTTTACCCAACCAACATGGCCTTCAACTTTCGGCCTCCTTTTTTCACTGCACCCCGATTTTCGGCCGCACCCACACGGACGCCGCCCGGAAAAACCGGATTCTCGGTGGCCCTTTTTTCCGAGGCGCCACGTCCATGCCCTGCAGCACGCGCCCGAAGACCGTGTGCTTGCCGTCCAGCCAGGGACATGGCACCGTGGTGACCTGCCGGCGCCCGTTTTTTTTTTTTGACCCCCCAGGTTTTGGGGAATGAAGGGTGGGAGGTCCCCATAACCCCAGGTAGAGTCGAGAAAAACAACCGGTTTTTGGGGGAAGGAAGAGTGGGAAAACCCGTTTTTAGTTGCCTCTGTTTGAAGTGTCCTGTTTTAGGTGTTCCCCGTTGTAGTGGGTCATCACTTGCCAGTTGTTTTGGCTATGACTTAACATGGTTGCCAAAATGGGAAAACCAAAAGGTCAGATCCAGTCGATTCGCTAAGTGGGTTTACTGAACAAAACCAACGGGAAACACCAGGGTTGCAACATTTGGACAACTGAGCTGCAACATTTAGCGAAATCGTAGAATCTTTGGACAGCCCGTTAGAAGGCTGCGAGACAAGTTTCAGAAACTTGGGAACCTTGCCACAATAACAGCATCAACCATTTCGTCAGTTCTCGCAAGTTCTATGAACGGAACCTGCAGAGATTACTTTGGTTTGAGAAATACTCCAGCAAACTGACAAGAATGTGTGTGTGTGTGTGTGTGTGTGTGTGTGTGTGTGTGTGTGTGTGTGTGTGTGTGTGTGTGTGTGTCTGAGTGTCTTTGTGTGTCTCTGTGTGTCTCTGTGTGTGTGTGTGTCTCTGTGTGTCTCCGTGTGTGTCTCTGTGTCCGTGTGTCTGTGTGTCTCTGTGTCTGTGTCCGTGGAGACCGCCCCCAACAAAAATATGCTGTCATGCTGACATGATGCAAAACGTCACAAAGGGGCTCCTGACTTCGAAAAGAAGGCCGGCGAGCTTCCCAAACAGCCGATGGATTTCTCTAGGATGGGCTGCACTCTTCGTTCGGCTTGAAGGATAGGAGGGCAAGAGGAAGGGGCAGGAGAACAGGCCCCGTGGCATAAACCATCTAAAGAACATGCAAATTCTTGTAAAGATGTACAGCATCATCAAAAAAACGTCTTGCAAAAAAGAGCCCAAATGTGCTTCCCCAGCTTGGGGCATACTGGAACTCCCTTTCGGGGGAAACCCATGGCTGCTCAAGCGCTGGAAGCCCCGTTGGGGTCATCCCGCCAAGACAAGTGTTGGTCTCAAAGGATTTGGCACCAACACGGCACGACGTGGGTTTCCGTTCGTGGCAACATGGGGTCGCCGCAAAAACGACGCATGAAGGAGGGTGCTTCTTTCGCCTTTCAGGTTGCCAAGCGACATCGACCCTCTCCGACTTTGAGACCCGTTTCAATGAACATGTGCCTCAGCTTATCCACTTTGTGTTCCCCTGAAGACTTCGCCTTTGCGGCACATGTGGGGATTCATGATTTGCGGCATTTTGGAGCTTGAATTTCCCCTTTAAAATTCCCTTCAAAATAACCGAAAGGTAGATTCCAAAGTTTCCTCTTCTCTTCAAAATCACTGAAAAGTAGATTCCAAACATTCACTCCCATTCCCAGCTCAAAGTTCTCCCCGCTCCCCCCAAAACCTCTGGGGTCCCCGGCAAAGAACTGGGAGCCGTTGGTGTTGGGCCTGGCGCGGTGAAGAAAACACCCAAACCAAACCGAATCCTTGGTTGATGCAACGACCCCCCTGCAAAAAGTTGATCACATTTTGGGGTTTAGTGGAGAACCCTTTTGGGGGTTTAGTGGAAAACCCAACTTGATTTCAGCCAAAAAGTTAGTCTAAAGATCCAACCCAACAGCAGTCAAGCACCGGACACATTCTCAGATGCCCAGTGGCCATGGGACAACAAGGGCACCCCTTTTTTGTTGATTGAGTTTAAAGGGGAACCATTAACCAAAACGAGGCACGCCCCGGCTCCCTGGCTTGAAATGATCTCTCTGCATCTCTGGAAGGCATCTCCATGACCAAATCCACTGCATAGACAGTATGGGTGGGGCCTGCAAAAGCAGGCTTGTGTTCTCCACTTGTTGGAGGACCAAAGCCATTTTGGGGAAGTTACCAAACCAACAGGAGCAAAAGTGCTACATGGGAATACTCTCCAACCCTTATGTGAAGAAACCACTCGAAGTTCGAACTGCAGCCCGCCGCTGTACAATGAGCACAATCAAAAACGCGGGAACACAAACATGCATACCCAGAACGGAGAGCTACCCTTCCAAAACAAACGGATGGATGGAACCTACGCAGAGGTCCATGTTTAGATGGAACACAACTTTCCAGGACCCCTAACGTTTGTGCGTGGATCCGGTTTTTGAGGGCAGCCCCTTTTTGGTTTGAAGGGGAACCAAAGGAAAACCGTTGCGCCATTGTGGGGATCACCCTACTGTGGATGGACGACATCCCCTGGAATGAGTCGATTCCCTCGTAAATGGCAACAAACATTATGGTTCCCGCATAGTTTCATTTCGCAGTGCGACCCCGCATGGTTCCCGTAACCCCTTAATTTTGGGTAATGACCCCATTTTAAAGGGGCATGGAGACAAGCCCGTAACCCCCAGTAAACATCCCAATCCCCACTAAAATAGACTAAAATGGGTGGTGCACCTACCCCAAAATGGTACCATTGGTTTTGGCCCACAGCCAAATGGATTTTGCAATATTAAAAATACCCATAGACCCACGTCGCTGAGCAAAGCAGGGCGGCTGCACCCGGCATTGGCCATCGAGAGAGTAAAGGGCCGGTCGTGCTTCAGGTTTCGGTGGAACTCATCCTCGTCCGAGTCCGAGAACACGAAAAGGAGGCGGTGGTTTTTTTCTACCCCCCAAAAGTGGCCTCGTTCCTTTCATGTTCCTCCAAAAGTTTCCCTAAAAGACAGAGCCAGGAGTCAAATCGGAGACTCCCGAAGCGGCTTCGGTTGATTTGCTGGTGCGATAGCCAGGGAACCACCGTGCCGTGGCTTGGGAGTCAAGCGGTTTTGGGGATTCCCTTTAAAGGGAAACCAGAGGGGATGGTTTATAAGATCAGGGCTCGATACAAGAAAAAGGGCCTACTTGAAAGACGAACCCTCCGCATCAAGTGGGAGATTCCCTTGTACCACAGAAGTGGTTGGATAAACCCCAAAGACTCCCACAACCCCGATAGGGGTCATGCCGTCCTTGTTTGACACAAGGCAAATCTGGTTGGTTTCCCGTTGGTTTCCGGGCCTCCCGTCCCACGGCCGTCCTCGAACTCGCCGCCCCAGATGCTCTCGCCACCTGTGCCATCGCCTTGAGGATCTCCCGTCTGGATCATGAAGCCCTAGCAAAGGGAACCCCCGACCCTCGATTTCCGGGCCCTCAGTGGCAATCGGTTCAATTGAACTCCGATTGATCAGAGGGGAAATCCAAATTCAACTGAGTATGGGATTGGCACCCTTGCTTTCGAGACCTACCTGGGACACGTATGTTGATTCGATCGTATTACCACATCAAAACTGGCCTTTGATCTTTGCAAACTGGTCGTCACCGTGTTCCATCACAAGTGATTCCTCTCCCAGTCTTGGGAAGGATACGCGCTCATTGCATTTCAAGCAAAGTGGAAGCGCTAAGCCGCGCAGCCGTGCAAACTGCCGGGCCAGCCAAAATTGTGACTGAGACAAATGTGCGGTCAAAACTGAGTGACACATTTGATTGACTTCCGAACAAGTGGCGATCATTTCGGTGCCACTCTGTCTGACACGCCTGGATGATGCGGTGGAAAATGATGTTGTCCTCGGTTCGTAGTCAGCCGGTCTCTGGGGTGTTCTCTCTCGCCTGTTTTCATAAACTCTTGCAAAGAGGGGTATATCACAATATATCCATTCTGAAGCCGGTTGGTAGCCAGCGCGCCAAGCAGTATAAACTGCCACTCTCAGACAATCAACTTGGCACGGCAACATGGGATGTCATTGTTATTCTCTCCGCAAGCAAACTTCGAGGCTCGGCGTTTTTGCTTCATTTCACCGCCAGGGAATCTCCACACTGGCTTGTACAAATGTGCCGAAGCCAGGTGCAGTTTCTCAACGCTTGACCCATGTGGCCTAGCGTCAGTTTCTGCTGTCAGCTTTGAGGTGGCTCAAGGGCATCGGGCCTGCCGTATCTGTCCTGACATACACTTTAAACGAATCGGTGCAACACAGCAGACTTCCACTTCTTGGTGAACCGCCTTTTTGCCCAGCTTTTTTGAAGGAAGTCAAAAGGCCCCTCCCCCCCCCCTTTCTCCCCCAGTCAAAAGGGTCTCCCCCCCCATCTGTGTGTTGCCTGCTTAGGGGATAATACATATATTTGTAAATATAACATATGTACATATATATATATACATATATGGTAGGACCCCCCTCCAATACCAAGGTTTTCCTGCTTTAAAATGTACATGTTGCATGTTTTTTGTATAGAAAGTCGCTTGTTTGAGGAAAACCTGGAGTTGAGTTGGGGTCCTGCTAAAGATCAGAACACATGTCTTACTACAAGTGCTTGATCATTGTTATGTGTCATTGGATGAGTATAGATCACATAACTGACTGATTTATAATTCAGTGTTGGAGTTTATAAACGTCCAAGTCTGGTTTATAAACTCTTGATCGTTGGATTGGGGGGGGGGCAACGCGGGGGGGGAGGTTCCATGCCTTCCCCCTCCCCCCCCACCCCCTCTTTCAAGAGTTGCTGGCCCCCCCCTCCCCCTCATCCAACTGCCAGGAGTCCAAGAGTTTAGAGTTTATTAGCCGGACTTGGAAGTTTATAAACAAAATTTGCGGGGAATGCTGAGCCTACACGAATTGAGACCATTTCAATGCACAATTTCAATCTGTTTAATAAACAGCTACTGGCTCGGGCAAATTCAAGTCTATCCCATTCCCGTGCTAATAACCACAATGGACTGGTATCTCGAGAGCATCAAAGCGGATCCTGAGCAGATCAATCTAGAATCAGGAGATTTGAGCCTCCGAAATATCAAATGTGAATTCCTTTGCAAATAAGATGTTACTTCAAATTGAATTGACATTTTGAATGGAATGTAGGAAGGCCATAGTTCGTGTGAAATCTATATTCCATTAGAATTTAATTAAGAATCCCTTTCCAAATCGGAGTTAAAGGCAATTATTCCATTGGCCTCTGAACATCATTTCAAATAGGAGCTCATTCCCAAATGTACTTAGATTAAATGTGGCGTAAACAACTGTGGAATTTGTTTTCATGACGAAACCAGTACAACAAGAACTTAGGTTAAAATAGAGTTTGAAAATGAGCTCCCTTGCAAACATTGCTTTAATTAAATGTCAATTGAAATGTTAAATGCGATCTAGTAAGGACCAGGTTTTGCATTGCTATTCATTATTCTTGTTGGTCCGGATTTTCTGTCTGTTTTGTTCTTTTTGGGCCTGTGCAAGTTTCAGAGCTTTCATCTTCTTCAGGTTCTGTTTTTTGGGCTGAGAAGGGGCGTAGGCCCAGGTTCAAACCCCAGTAAAATGTGACGAAGCGGGTGGCCCACTTTGGCATTTCAGAAATGTTGGTTTGGTTCACACAACCATGAAGGCAGGATTCACCAAACGTGCTCAAATGAGGTTGGGTCAACATACTTGGTATAGCAACCATTTGAGAATCAATTGGACATGGATATGGGGGTGCTGCTTGGTGCGCAATGTATTGGCCAAATGATTGGTACGGTCAGGTTCCTGACTGGCATTTTATGGGGCTCAAGCTACAAAAAACAGATTGTGTTGCTTTACTACGTGTGCTCGAACCAGTGTAAACATAAAAGTTTCCAATCAAAACCATGCTTGAAGCCGAACACAAGCCGTCTTGGACTTATTACCTTTTTCAATCCTCAAAAGACGAAACACCTGCTACCGTAAAGAGGGTGACAAATCATCAGCAACACCTTATGTTGCAGCGCTTTCAGTCATGTGGAGAAAGAGGAAGTGCAGAGTAGATATGAAGTGAGAATCGCAGGGAAACAGCTTTGTGTCCCAACAGGAATGGCTGTGCTGTCCTGCAACGCTGGTGCAAGAGTTCGGAATACGAATCGCAGCAACGCATAGGCTGGGTTGGAGAACTTGTGACTTGAGCCAAACGTGGCCACCACTTGTATATGTTACAAACATACATGTCGCTGTGGTACTATTCATAAAAACAACAGCAATGAGTTCATAAACTGTCCAATTGGTTGCTGGAAGTCACCTCTACATCTGCCCTGCAATGCATCCATCATTTGCCCCACAAGTCAAATACAACAAAAAACCTTGGTATTGGGAGGGGGTCTTAGCATATATATATATGGTCCTACCATATATGTATATATATATGTATATATGTTATATTTATAAATATATGTATTATCCCCTAAGCAGGCATATATATATATATATATATATGGGTCAGTGTCCAGGGTTCCCAGCCTCCCCCCCCCCCATGGTATGGTCCCCCCAGGCCCCCCCTCGCCCCTCCCCGGCCTGCCCTCTCCCCTGCCCCCCCACGGCCCCGGGTCCCTCATTTCTCGTTGTGGGACCCCTCCAAACTCCAGCGTGGCTTTGTACTGCAATCCTGTCAACAACCACCCCCTGCCCGTCAACCATCCCTACCCTAAAAGTCATACACCCATCCCCAATCCAGCTTGACTTGAACCGCAGGACAACCTTAAGCTAGTCCTAAATCTAATTGACATGAAGCCTAAGATATTTAACTCAGAAAAAAAACTACATTGCTCAACCCAGCAAAGCCCCAGAGGATCCCCAAACCCACAGTAAATCAGCCCCCGGCCATCCTAAGAAAACTAATAATCAGTTTACATAACCCTAAGCAATGTCCTAAAATCCTGAGCTACAAGCCCGAAACTCAAAGGTAAGCTTGAGATACCCCAAAGGATCCTTAAATCCAAACTGAATCATCCCAAACCAACAGCAGTCAACCCTCAACGAAGCCTGACTTGCCCTCCAAACCAACACCCCACACCACAGAGGGGGAGGGGGGGGAACCACAACCACAGGGGGGGAGGGGGGAACCATAACCACAAGGGGGCGGGGGCACCACACCCAAAGGGGGGGTGGGGGGTACCATGACCATTGGGTTGGGGGCGGGGGGGCACGAGCCCTGACCCTTATATATATATATATATACATATACATATGTCGGTGTGTCTCAAAATAGGCGGGCCCCCGCCCGCCAATCGACACGTTTTTGCCCGCGAAGCGCGAGCGAGCCCAGCGGCATAGTAGCCATTCTTGGAGTGCACGGTGAAATTCTCCACCGACTTGGGGCACTCCTAACCGTGCGAGCGGTCGATTGGGCTCGTCCAGAAATGGAAAGCAAATCCTGGAATAGTCGAACCTTGGCCCCAGAACAAAGACCGAACACGCAGGGACAAGCAACTGTCCATTTTTGTCTAATTGTGGTTTGGTCATCGTTTCATGGTTCGGAGACTGACGAGGCCTGGTGGAAGAGCTTCACCACAATGTCTCCCATGGTGGTGTGGATGGTCGCCTGCTTCCCCAGCGGGTTCTCCGTCCTGGCGCAAACCCGACACAATGAAGGTGTGGGTGCGCTGTTCTTCGGGTGCACTCTTTGTGTTGCTTAGGGATTCGGACGCCCAAGAAGCTATGGATTCCATTTTTTTAAATCAACCAACTCTTTTTTACACCAACGATCTTTGGTTAATTTTTAGAAATCATTTTTTAAATCAACGATCTTTTCAAACACCAACCGTTTTTCCTGGACTTCTGGAGGCTTTGGAGACCAAGAACCTACGTATTTTGATGCGTGCCCGAGGACCCTCTGAGAGAAAAGCATGGAATGGACTCAAACATGGTTTCACGGGTGCTCCAGACGTCATTCGGTTTCGAGTCTGGACTTCGCGCGGCCGACAGGATCTTCTGCCTCTGTTCTTGAAAATGCGCTTTGGATGCGGTTTTTGTGGATCCACCCCAGGTGGTAACCGAGTACGACAAAAGAGTACTAAAAAAGAACCTGCAAGGGGGGGGGGAATGATTGTAATTTTCTTTAATTAAAAAAGGAAAATATTATTTATTTAGCATATTTAGAATTTATTTTGGTGATTATTAAAATTGGAATATATATTGGTATTATATTGAAATATATATATATTATTATTTTATTGCGAAATATATTGAATTTGGAAGTATTTGATTGTTTGATTTTGTTTTTTGTTGATTTTATTGGTATGTTAAAATATTATTTATGGATTTAATTTTATATTATGTTGAAGGATTTTGTTGAAAATTTGTGACTGTGTTTAATAATTATATTTTAAAATATATAATTTTTGAAAAATTATATTTAAAAAAATAAAAAAATATAATATTTAGGTGGTTGAAATAGATATGGATTTATAATAATCTTAAAATATATAAATTAATTAATTTAAACCTATGATGTTTAATCCGAAAATATATTACCAAGGTTTCAAAAAAACAAGAAATATATATATAACCTAGATAATTATATATAAATAATTTATGGACATATATATTATATGAAATATCCATTTCATGATGAAATTATGTATTAGATTTGCCAAAATAGATTTGAATTATAAATTAAAAAGGAGGTGCTTTTGTTGCTGGTTCCTTGTGCATGATCTTATGTTTGAAACGAGCTATTTGACAAGATCATGAATATGAAACGTTGAATTGTTATACAATATTCTGCGATAAGGAAATCCAATTTCATATTTGATTTTGAGTTTTATTCCATACGCTAGGGTGTGGGTGCGCACGATGTTCCAGGCGAAGGCGCTCAGGGTCATGGCATGGCGTAGCCCTCGAGCTGGAAACCTCCCACCGTGAAGCTGGCCGAGGCCACGGAGCTCTGGCTGTTGGGAGCAGTAGTACTTCGCCCAGGGTGGCCAACGTGACGTCGTCGGCCCCTCCGCCAAGGAACTCGTGCTTCAGCAGCAGGGTCAGCGAGCTCTGAAGCGCTGCGATGCTGCTTCCGTACCTGTCCGTCCGTGGTGGCCAGGGCCATTGCCGTGGCCAGGGGCGCAATTGCCGGTGTTCGAATCCTAAAATATGTATGCCTGTGCGTGTGGCTTGTCAAAAAGCGGCGTGATCCTCGCCGCTATGTCTAGGGAGTGCTGGTCCACCACCGTCTTGAGGCCGTTGTTGGCGGCCACCGTATCCAGCGTGGCGTTGTTGGCCGAGGCGATGGAGCCGTTCATGGCGTCCACGCCGTCCGGGGTGCTCTTCGTGGCCCCCAAAACGCACCTGCAAAGGTGTAAAGTGAACTGGTTGGATCCACTCCTGTTGGATTCTGCTCTTCGGCGTTGATTTTTGGGTTCGTGCTTCATGTCTTTCGATAAACCCTGGTGCAGGCCATGGCCGCCCTCTCAAACAGGAAAGTGTGCAAACTGCTTTCCATGTCAACGGGAGGTGAGCTTGTCCCGAATCTCGGTTGCTGTTGACCCTCTACTAAAAGTTTAACTTGTTGATGGTTGAACGGAAACACCCTTGATTTCCCAAAAAGTAAAAGTCTAAAGATCCAACCCAATAGCACTCAAGGAATTCTCTGCCTGATAAGGTTGCACCAGCACAGTCAAGCTCCTACACTCGCCGAAATGAATCAAACTTCGTCATAGTTATGGAAGTCTACCGTTAGTAATCACACGGGCTGTTCAACATGGGAGGATCCCTAGTCCTCATCCGCTACAACAATGGAAACCGTGATCAGCTGGTACAAGGAGTAAGCACAGACTTTGAACACCGCCATATTGCTGCTAGGTTAGCAGGACAGCTTCCATTTGCTTAAGTTCCCCGGAAAAAAAAAAAAAACAATTCCAGTAGTGATCGATTCCCTTTAAAACCACAAGAGAAAATAACAACACATTCTTGAGCAAATGGAAGTCCTGAAGTTGGAAACAAAGCACCTCTGCCAGCTTTGCCTGCCTGATGGAAGCGGCGACCGCGGCGTCTTCCTGTGACAAAGGGAAGTGCTCACAACTGCCAAGCTGCTAGACCTCTTCCTGGTTGTGGGGCACAATTGTCATGTTGACGCCTGATATAAAACCAAAATGGCGAATGAACTATCCGGTTGTTCTTCCCAACAGGGAAGGAAGCTGGGGCGCCCCGCTGCTCATCAAACTAGGGATGTATTCTTCTGGGTCAGGCAGAAACCGTTACGTTGGATTCCAATCCGTACGGGCTTTGGCACTCGCCTTAGTATCACAAAAAGTAGCCCTAAGACCTCATTTCCCCCAGCCATGAACCTGCACACAGTTGACGCCACGATCTGAAGCTTATTTTATTGGATATCACGGCAGTGGCGGCCACAAACAGCAGAACATAAGAAACCCTGGGAAAAAGCCGACTGCCTAGAATGCCGCAACTCACGGACAAAAGGCAAGCACACCCAATCAACAAACAAATTCAAATGATGAACACCCCAGGCTCTCCAGCTCTGGATCCATGAAAGCGACCCAAGAAACACTCCACATGGTAGTTCAGATGCTTCCTGAGTGGATTGGCAAGAACCGCTCTCGACTTTTTGTTAACCACTGAAATGGTCAGCCCAAAAGTGGCTCAAGTCTGAAACTGATCTCAGGGACGCTCACTTCAGTGGACCCAGGTTCACCGCTCCGGGCCTTGCTTGGCTTCTCGTTGAAGATGTCTCTGCCGAGCTCCGCGGTCGTCTCGGGAGGCTCCCGCGCGCTGAACAAGAAGAACCTGGAAGATTCTCATGGAAAACACGGATCCAAGTAGAGCCCCTAGCTGATTAATAGGGCTGGACGGACGAAATCCATTTCGCATCACCAAATGAAACCATGGCTGAAACCGTTGTGTGTCGGTATTTCTATACAGGGGAGTCAAACCATTCCAGGGTTTCTTAGGGATGCTGGATTTTGTCCATCAGTAGGGGTGTCCCTGTTTAGGTGGGATTCAGGCCACTTTTGCAGGACCGTAGTGGTCCTGGGCCTCTGCTTAGATCCGGGGTCAACGTTAGGCCCATGGGCCCAACCTGCTGTCGAGTGCCGGTGAGGTTTGAGGTTATATCCTACCAGTTGCAAGGCGAACACGGCAGTTCATGTTGGGCAAACAGGAGCAAACGGTATAACACCTTCTTAGTGAGTTCCTTCTGGCGAGAATGCCTAAACAAGAGCATCTGCAAAAACGAGGTGGACAATGGCAATGCCTCGATGGCCGTGTTGCCACCTTCCTTCATGAAGGCATCACACACACACTCTAACATTTCCATTTGGTTAAGGCCCCAGGAAAAACATAAAATATTTCCAGCAGTGGTGAATTCCTTTTTAAACCAACCAGGGAAAATACAACATATTCTTAAGCAATTGGAGGAACATTGCTCACACTCCCCTTTATAGGCCACGCTGGAGATTGGCCTGGTAGATGAAACAAAACCAATCTAAACCAGTGGAACCCATCGACTTCTTTGCCCGAACTAACCTCGGACGCCTACGGTACCCGCACAAGCACACAGCCATGTGGCGGGAGCACGAGATACGGATCGATCCGATCCGATCGATCCTGTTCTTCTTGTAGGCGGTTACCAGCGCGATCGGGTCCGCTGACTCCTATCCGAAGAGTAAGATGGGGCTATGATTTGTGATAAGACTTGCTGGTGCTCAGCAGGGATTGAGGGACTGAATGAAAGATTCCCTTAAATGAAACCACAAGGGATGGTATGTAAGGGTCATTCGCTCCTGCTGATCAGCAGCAAGAAGATGCCGCCTCAAAGATGCTTGGTGGACTTGAAAAAAAACCCATCGATCTTTGATTTCCATGGGCATATCTCCCCCTTAACTGAAATGAATAATACATATGGGGCATGTCTCAAACTAACACACCCCTTTCTCGACTTCCCCGTGCTGAGCCCCGCTGCAAACTGGCACGGCGGCTTCCAGCGAGGTCCGATTTTCTCAAGTCTCCCCGGTTCCGGAAAAACATGGGCCGGACACGGGGGTGCCCCTGGGGTTCTTTATGGGCTGGGGTGGAAGGAGCGGTTGAACCGCCATGCACCAGCGTCAGGAATTCGGAGCAGATTGAAGCTGACTTGTACTATTCGGCTATGGCTATGACACATTGAGCTTCATTCAACGAGCATCCACGGCAAAAGCATGGGCTTGCTCAGTTTGGACCTGGATTCGCTTTGGACGACTCAGTGGGTCTGTTACATGCTGGATCAGTCATGGGTTCCCATTTCCCCAAAGGTGATCTCCTTTTTCCAGGCCCCGAACTCGTGGACTCAACTTGTTTTGCTCGCAACAATCATTGGGTGTGTCTTTTTGTAGGGGACCACAACATTTAACGTCACAAAAAAAGGCATCCTGACACAAGAACACACCCAATTCTGCTTGGGTGTATATGGGGATGACTAATTGCGCTCATTACTCTCGTGGTCATGAAGCGCTTAGTTTGGTTCTGACGCACTCCACAACCCCATTCTACTGATCTAGGCGCCAAGACATCTGGGTGTCTCTCAGAATAGAAAACCCCCAAAGGTGGGTGGCTTTCCCTTTAAACAACCCAAGAAACGGTACCCCCCCCAAAAATCGAGCCCATACCTACGACAGCTTGGTTCAACTGACAAGCTCAGCTCCTTCTGGTCGTTCTCGTTTTCGACCACTGACTCCCCCAGCGCCGCCTGCCGACAAGTTGCTCAGAAGCAGCTTTGGGTGCATCACTCTCGGCCAGACCTTTGTCTGAAAGCACCGGCAGGTGCCAACACTGCTGGAATTCGTAGTAGAATAAGATAAAGGGCCAAGCAAGTACAAACACTTTCTTCCTATAGCAACTGAACTTGGTTTTCATGTATGCCACAACCTCAGTCTGAACACTAAGGTCCGCATAATGGCAACTCCGGAATACTATAAAGTCCCGCTTGAAGAAAAAGGGGGTGTCCCCTCTTAGTCGGAATCCGGATCACTTTAGTGACTGGGTGTCACCCCCACATTAGTAGGATGGGGGTGGATTAACTTGAGGTTCTCAATTACAAGGTACTTTCTTCGTTGTGCGGCCGCACGAAAACTTGAGTGCATCGTTGAGCACAGAAGCTTCGCGGCAACACCAAAACACAGCAATCGGCGCCAGGGGCCGATCCCTCGAGCCGCTCTGAAGGTCGTTGCCGATTCCCGAAACGAATCCGCCCGGCCAGGGATATGTGGTTTGTCCGTGTAGACGCGAGGCTTCCCTTTGTCCCGAAAGTAAAGTTGGTGAACAGGGTGTGTGTCAAAATAACGTTTGGACCAAAATGTCATCTGTCTTCTTTGGTTTCCCTTGAACTCAAGCTGAAAAGCGTACTCTCGACACACACACACACACATACATACACACACACACACCATAAGAGGATACTACCAGGACATCGGTTTGGGGCAGGCGGCTTTGCAGGTTGACGGGTATCGGCTTCGGGTAAAAAAGCGACGATGCCCAGTGGATGTCCATGGGAACCAAAGGGCATCGGGCATCCTTGTTTGGTTGGTTGACTTTCAAGGGATCGGAACCCCAAATCCGAAAAAAAAGAGAGAGGAAAACACAAGTTGGAAACAAGGAAGCAGCCCACTGGTTGCAACAAAAGGAGCGCACCCCACTGGTCTATTCATTCGGGGTTCTCTTTTTTTTTTTCGTTGTGCGGCCTAGGGGCCACCCACTTTTTTAAGACGAAGGGGCGGCTGCCGCCTTCTTCTTCATGACTTTGCCCTGGTACAGCGCGATGCCCAAGAACCGCTCAGTCTGCTCCACCTTGCCTCGGTCCGTGTCTGAGTGGCTTGGCCCAACACAAGCCTCGCCTTTTCTCAGCCTAAGCACAAACCAAGGTGAGGGTTGCGGGATCAAGGGGTTTATCCAACCACTTCTGTGATACAAGGGAATCTTCCCTTGTAAAAGTGGATTGGCCCAAGAAAATTGAGCGAGACGAGTGGAGGGACAGAGATTTGAGGGCACGTGATTACTTTTATGTTTTGAGTGGAGTGGACAGAAAAAGTACCCAAACTGCTTGGTTAGCACCAAATTTGGTCCCCCAAAGAGTGACGAAGGTGCAGAAGCTCGAAACGTGAGCAACAGGGTGAACCCCCGTGTCTCCATGGGTGCTGGAAGCGGCAGTCAATGCTATACCATCTGTCTGCGCCTGCCTTTTTTATTTTTCGTCGCGTTGTTTTTACCGCAAAATTCTTCTGACATGGGCATGGCATGTTGAGAGAGCCAAATATTTAGAACCATATCAACAGCAACAACTAGTAATTTAGTTGGTCTCTCATGCCACAAACGCTTATCATGAATTGCATACCGTGGATGGAATCGACCAAACGCATACCGAAAAAGCATGATCAACGGCTCAAACAGCTATCAAGCATATGAGCGCTTTCTGCCCAAGCACCTTCCGCTGTTTGCGTGTGGACGAGTCTCTCGTGCTTGAGACAATACCCATCCACACAGCACACACATACACAAGTCCTAGCTGCACTTGCTGTTGCACTTGTTGTTTGCTGGGATTTGCCCCAGGCATCTCATGGAGGGAGCCACCCCGCTGTACTTTATAGATATTCTGTGCCGTGGATGTATCCCTTCCCATGCAAATGTTCAGGTCAAACTTCCAACTTCCCATCTTGAGACCCGGGTGCATTTCAAGCGCTGAGCCGAAAAAAAAACCCTGGTACTCCCTCAGACTTCCTTCTGGACCAAACAATTGCCGGGGGGGGTAGGGGTGGGGGGGAGGGGTGGGGGGGGTGACACGAATCCCCTTGCGGGAAGTTTTCTCGGCCCTGAGATGGCAGGGCCCTTGAGCCGAGCCGAGATCCGGGCCCAGGATCTTCACCAGCTTGTTGGTGTGCAGGTTCACAATCTTCACGCCGATCTGAACCGCCCGGTGGACCCCAAAGCGGCTTCCGACGGGGAGCGGAAAGGAAAGCCTGGTTGGTTGAGGCGACGGGTTTTTGCAGCTTTGTGGGGGGTTGGTTTAAAAGGACATCAACATCAAGTTTATTCTGGGGGTCCCCCCGCAAAAATCCAAGTCATCAAGTCATCTCAGGCTCTGGTCGTTTCAAGCCTCCGAAATGGTGTCCAAAACTTTAAACTTGAGAGATCCCTTTAAACCCAACAAGGGAAAATAACAACTCAAGCAAATAGAAGTATATATGGCCATGAGAGGGTCGGAATCCTCTACTCACTTGGTAGCTTGGCGAGAAACAATCCAGACACTTTTCTTTGTCATTGTTTTCCAAACTGACTAAAGTTCAAAGACCGGGGACATGAATTTGCATACACAAACTTTTCGACATAGTACCATCTGAAGCCCAGAGCCGCATTTCATGTCCCGCGGCCAATATTTATCGTGTCCCACCCTGACATTGACGTTTGGTGAGTAACCCCGATGTTCTAATTGTAAATTGGTGAGGTAGGATATAAGTTATGAGATACCGTTCGAACCGAGCAGTCCATGGCTTTAGAAGAAGCAGCCACTGGTTTGAAGGGCCCACCCCTGGCAACAGGTCACAAGTGAAACAAAAAGTGCCATCTCCGCAAGGTCGTATCGCAAGGGTCGTAAAGGTTTGCACAGGACTTACTCTAGGTACTGGAGAGGTTAGAATAAGGGTACCAACTTTTTAGTAGGGGAACCCTCCCCCAAAAAAGGGGCAAACGGGCACTGCAGGGGGACCTAGTACTATAATGTTGGACTCTCTTTACTGTGACCTCCCCCCCCCTGGAACAGTGGACCCGTCGGCGGGGCTCTCTTTAGTGAGATCCTGGGGGTCCGGGAGGGGCAGTACTTACTTTAGTATTGCCAATTCTACTTTAGTATTGCCAAAGCTCCCTCTCAGATCCCCAGCACTTACTTTAGTATTGCCACTTCTACTTTAGTATTGTCAAGGGTCGTTTTTGCAGCAACCCCCAACACCAGTTGGACACTAAAGAGGACCCCAAAACAGTCGCATTAAAGAGGATCTGGGCCTCTTGTGGGCACCCCCCTTTGTGTGACTGTTTGCCCGCACTTTTTTGTAAAGAAGTTATCTTACATTTGATGGTTTGGGGACCACTTCAAGAAAACAATTTCCCAATGTTGGCCAGGATTTGGTTGCCTGTTTTCTTGCCCGACTTGTTTGCCACGTTTTTTGCCCATATTTTTCCCAGCGTTGTTTCCGGCAAAAAACTTTCCACAATAGAGAACGCCTAACACAGTCACAGGATTCTGAAATAGAAAAACAATCCGCAATAGCGAGTACTATTAATAAAGGAGGTCCAACATCAACCCCGACGAAGCTGACAAGACCCATAGGATTTTGTAGGCGCTGCTGATGTGATGCTTGCGGAAACCGGTTCTGAGATGGGCACAAGCGAGGTGTAGATCAAGAAGTTGCCGGACTCGTCGAAGACGGCCTCGCAGATTCGAGTCCACTGCTCGCGGCTGACGGACAGAACAGATCTCTGCACCCATTTCGTGGCATTGGGTTTCATCTAGCCCGACTGGTGCCAGGGGGGATGGCAACGGTTTTCTTCTGGTTTCTTTTTAAAACCACCACACAAAGGGTACCCTCAAAAAAAGCCCGCACTGATCCCATGGATTGCCTTCGCCAGATGGTTGCCTTTTTTTTCCGTGTTTGAGGCCTGGCGCCGTTTTTTGACGCAAACAACATATGGGTCCTCCCGTCCACTAACGCCATTTTCACCTGACGTTTCGGTGGAAGACTATTTCTCACTTCCTGAGTCGATTGGCTCAACAAGGGCGTTTCGTTTTATTTGCCACTAAAATGGTGTAGAGGGGGACTGAGCTGTGCCAGACCACTTCCCAAAAAGTGTCCAGTCCAACTCGGCAAGTGGGACGTTCCTTTGTCGGGCACGGAGGGTTCTGGTGGGTTCGGCTTGGCGCTAGTGGACGTGACCGAGAACTCAGACTCGCGCTGGGTGTAGCTTCAATGGCATGAGGCTTGAGGCCATGAGTCTCAAGACTGGCATTGAAGGAGTCTTCCCAGATTTCAGAGTAAAGAACTCTCAAAGAGCAGATATCCACATCTAGGTCTGCTTAAAAAATGCCCCCCTTCATCTACCCAGGTTTGAGGAATTTTCACAAATTCATGTTCTGTCTTTGAACCATCCCAATGGCGCAGCCAAATTCAGCTGCACAGGACCATTGCATACTTTCAAGCCCAACTCAAAATCCAAGTTTCATCGTTACGCAAGCTTGCACAAGAAAGCGATAACCAACAAACAGCTTCTTTCGTGGTATCATGCTCAGTATCAATGAGAGAAAGGCATCCCTAGGTCTTCCAGTAGAGAGGTTAGAACAAGGGTACATTTTTTCAGTTTTGTCTATCTTAGTAGGGGAACCCTCCCCCCAAACAAAGGGCTAGAAAGGGCACCTAGCTGGGGGACCTAGTCGTCTACAGTCAAGGTCTCGGGATCATCGCTGAAGCCGCCTGCTGGAACATCAAGGCCGGAGACTTCCTCATCTCCTTCTCCACCGCGATGCGGCGCCCAAAGTCGAACCTGAAAAAAACACACACACACACACACCTTCCGAACCGCGCAAAGACCTGAGTCACAATCAAAGCCTAATAAAAAAAAGTGCACCTGATTCTGGCTGGGACTTACCCTTACCTACCTTCACTTACCCGGGTTTTGATTAATTATGACTCACCTGTTTGTTTGGGAACGGGTGGCCTTTCGGGAGGGAACATAGACGAGTTTCCCTGGTAGACGAAAGAACCAGGTCAACCAGGAATCAACATCTATTTTTCAGCAAAACAACCAAAAAGGACACCTCTGGCTTTTAGAACTTTCTCGGGTTTTTTGGAGGGTCTGAGAGGTACACAGCCATCAATCAGTCCATCAGTCCGGATGGCGCCTGTCCAAATGGAGCTCTCCCATGTTCGGGTCGCTCTGTGCAGCGGTGAACATCTCCATCGACTCGTCATAGGCTCGGACCTGTGACAGGCCATCGGTCGACCCGGAGGTTCACAAGCGGACAGAAGTATTTCCCAGGCGTTGGCGAAACCCAAAAAGAGGACCTCGGCCTGGTTGTTTGAACAAGCTTCTTCCCACCCGAGGTTGGCTTGCTTGAAGCCTGGGCAGGTGTTTGAAACGGAAAGGTTTGCATCCCCAGACACCCGCAACGATGTTTCTTGTGATGGGGTTTGGTTCTCTGAAAGCGTGGATAGGAAATTATATTGGGCCGAGACATCGGCCAGCAGCACGCTCCACTCAACAGCTTCGAGTGGAGAAGGGATGTATTGTGCTCGGTCTCAACACCAGCAACTTGGTCTCACGTCCTGAGTGGATTGGCCAAACAAGGTCCAAACTTTCTATTTCCCACTGAAGGAGTCTTCCCCCCGCGAAGAACCAAGTCCATGAACTCAGCAAAGTGAGTCGTCCAAAGACCCGTTTTTCCAACCATCATGGGAGTGGGCTGCCCTCAGATCCCCCGCTAAAAGTTTAACCTTCAGTGGGTCAAATGGAAACTACCACTTGAGGAGCGGGTGAACGAAAGCTAGCAGTTGTTGCATGAGATGGGTCGGTGACAGAGTGGATTCATAGGTAGCTTGTGTACAACGAGAGGCCCGGCAAGATTCGTAGGATGCGACGCGCATCCTAATGGCGTGGCAAACCTTGAAAAATGAAAACAACGAGAGGCGTCAGAAGCTGTCTGAAAGCACCTCTGGGTTCTGCATGCTGCGTGTGCAAAGATTCTTGCGAGGTGGTTTACCGAGAAGACTGAGGTCTCAAATGAACAAGCTGAATCGGTGGAACATGTAAAAGTTCGTAGCACCAAGTCCAAAACGGGCAAACCGAGACTGCTGAACACTGAGCCACTGCCCGGGGGGGGGGATGGACCAGGGAGGAATCGAGCCTGAGACCGGGGGGGGGGGAGGGGGGGGGGGTCTAAATAATTGATGTTTTTCAATCTTTTCGGCTCAAATAATTGAAAAAATCAATCTTTCGGCATTTGAGCCCCTTACCTTGCTTACGCAAGGAGAAACTTCAGCTAGCTAAAGCTAGCTTTCGTGACTAAACACTAAACGGCTACAAAGCTAAGGAACCGGATGGCTGGCTTCGCCACCAAGGGAAGTGGACAGAGGGCTTCCCCATAAACAACGCATAGTTCCAAAAACCCTCCGATCGTCAGCTTCCATGATCGGAGGGAGGGCAGCTTTTGAGCCTCGCTCAGGCGGTCCATTTGTTGAGGGATCCCCGAAAGTGGCTTGGGTTTCCCTTGGGCTTCCCTTGAACCCTCCACCCCCCAAAAAAAGAAAAGGGGCACCCTCCCTCCCACTTACATAGCACCGGCGGGAGTACCTGAAAGATCAATGTCCTCTTGAATGAACCCTCTGTGAGGTGCTGTTTTTTGTGGGAGCAAGGGTACCGGGCCTGACCACATAGTCCAAGATCGGACTATATGGCCATGGGTCAAAATCCAAATCGTACCCCCAGTGAACATCCCAATCCAACCACTAAAACAGGTTCTAAAATGGGTGGTGAATTCACCTCCCCCAAAATGGGATCCCATTGGTTTTGACCCACAGCCATTTCTGGAGTGAGACCTGCCAGTCCCATCCACCAAGACAGCTGCCCCCCAAAGAAAGGTACCCTTGGGTTTTCCTTTTGGCTTCCCTTGAACCCTCCCCCACTCCCACGTCCAAGATCGGTTTCTATTTCGAGCCCCGGGCCATCTTCATGGTCGCATAGCGGAAGACTCTCAGCCGCCCATCCTGGCCATCCGAGTCGCGAGTCCGAGCCCAGCACTTCGAACGGATTGGCCCCAAAAACCTCCCCGTGGCGCTGTACATATGTTAAGTAAGCACAGGACAGACAGAACGGCCGAAGCCTATGCAGGAAACCAAAACCGTGGGGTACATTGGGAACCCCCTTCTTGGAGTAAGACACCTTGCGCTTGCTGCTCTGGGCATCGAATCGCAACGCATGACGCACCACCTTGTCCGACCCCAAAGCGCTACAAGCCAAGGGAAGCCAGTGGTGAGGTGGCTCGTCGCCACACGCGTATGGCAAAGCCTCCAACAATCAAGGCTCTCTGATGATCGGGTTGTGGAAAACTGCTTTGAGGAAGGCCCCTGCACACTTCCAGGATTCTTGGAAAGAGGGTAACACTCCCTGGCTCTGTGTCAAACTGGGTGACTCCCTGGCGGCTTTCCTTTGTACTTCCCTTTACACCAAGTAGTTTTTCTGGTTTTCCTTTGCTCTTCCCTTTACACCAAGTCGTTTTCCTGGTTTTCCTTTGCTCTTCCCTTTACACCAAGTCGTTTTCCTGGTTTTCCTTTGCTCTTCCCTTTACACCAAGTCGTTCTCCTGGTTTTCCTTTGTACTTCCCTTTACACCAAGTCGTTCTCCTGGCTTTCTTTTGTACTTCCCTTTACACCAAGTCGTTTTCCTGGTTTTCCTTTGCTCTTCCCTTTACACCAAGTCGTTTTCCTGGTCGTTTCCTTTGCTCTTCCTTTACACCAAGTCGTTTTCCTGGTTTTCCTTTGCTCTTCCCTTTACACCAAGTCGTTCTCCTGGTTTTCCTTTGTACTTCCCTTTACACCAAGTCGTTTTCCTGGTTTCCTTTGCTCTTCCCTTTACACCAAGTCGTTTTCCTGGTTTTCCTTTGCTCTTCCCTTTACACCAAGTCGTTTTCCTGGTTTTCCTTTGCTCTTCCCTTTACACCAAGTCGTTTTCCTGGTCTTCCTTTGTACTTCCCTTTACACCAAGTCGTTTTCCTGGTCTTCCTTTGCTCTTCCCTTTACACCAAGTCGTTTTCCTGGCTTTCCTTTGCTCTTCCCTTTACACCAAGTCGTTCTCCTGGTTTTCCTTTGTACTTCCCTTTACACCAAGTCGTTCTCCTGGCTTTCTTTTGTACTTCCCTTTACACCAAGTCGTTTTCCTGGTTTTCCTTTGCTCTTCCCTTTACACCAAGTCGTTTTCCTGGTTTTCCTTTGCTCTTCCCTTTACACCAAGTCGTTTTCCTGGTTTTCCTTTGCTCTTCCCTTTACACCAGATCGTTTTCCTGGTTTTCCTTGGCTCTCACCAAGTCGTTTTCCTGGTTTTCCTTTGTACTTCCCTTTACACCACGTCGTTTTCCTAGCTTTCCTTTGCTCTTCCCTTTACACCAAGTCGTTTTCCTGGTTCTCCTTGCACTTCCCTTTACACCAAGTCGTTCTCCTGGTTTTCCTTTGCTCTTCCCTTTACACCAAGTCGTTTTCCTGGTTTTCTTTTGTACTTCCCTTCACACCAAGTCGTTTTCCTGGTTTTCCTTTGCTCTTCCCTTTACACCAAGTCGTTTTCCTGGTTTTCCTTTGCTCTTCACCAAGTACACCAAGTCGTTTTCCTGGCTTTCTTTTGTACTTCCCTTTACACCAAGTCGTTTTCCTGGTTTTTCCTTTGCTCTTCCCTTTACACCAAGTCGTTCTCCTGGTTTTCCTTTGCTCTTCCCTTTACACCAAGTCGTTTTCCTGGTTTTCCTTTGTACTTCCCTTTACACCAAGTCGTTTTCCTGGTTTTCCTTTGCTCTTCCCTTTACACCAAGTCGTTTTCCTGGTTTTCCTTTGCTCTTCCCTTTACACCAAGTCGTTTTCCTGGTTTTCCTTTGCTCTTCCCTTTACACCAAGTCGTTCTCCTGGTTTCCTTTGCTCTTCCCTTTACACCAAGTCGTTTTCCTGGTTTTCCTTTGCTCTTCCCTTTACACCAAGTCGTTTTCCTGGTTTTCCTTTGCTCTTCCCTTTACACCAAGTAGTTTTTCTGGTTTTCCTTTGCTCTTCCCTTTACACCAAGTCGTTTTCCTGGTTTTCCTTTGTACTTCCCTTTACACCAAGTCGTTTTCCTGGTTTATTTTGCTCTTCCCTTTACACCAAGTCGTTTTCCTGGTTTTCCTTTGCTCTTCCCTTTCCACCAAGTCGTTTTCCTGGTTTTCCTTTGTACTTCCCTTTACACCAAGTCGTTTTCCTGGTTTTCCTTTGCTCGTCCCTTTATGCCAAGTCGTTTTCCTGGTTTTCCTTTGCTCGTCCCTTTATGCCAAGTCGTTTTCCTGGTTTTCCTTTGTACTTCCCTTTACACCAAGTCGTTTTCCTGGTTTTCCTTTGCTCTTCCCTTTACACCAAGTCGTTTTCCTGGTTTTCCTTTGCTCTTCCCTTTACACCAAGTAGTTTTTCTGGTTTTCCTTTGCTCTTCCCTTTACACCAAGTCGTTTTCCTGGTTTTCCTTTGTACTTCCCTTTACACCAAGTCGTTTTCCTGGTTTATTTTGCTCTTCCCTTTACACCAAGTCGTTTTCCTGGTTTTCCTTTGCTCTTCCCTTTCCACCAAGTCGTTTTCCTGGTTTTCCTTTGTACTTCCCTTTACACCAAGTCGTTTTCCTGGTTTTCCTTTGCTCGTCCCTTTACACCAAGTCGTTTTGCTGGTTTCCCTTTGCTCTTCCTTTTTGCACCATGTCGTTTTCCTGGTTTTCCTTTGCTCGTCCCTTTACACCAAGTCGTTTTCCTGGTTTTCCTTTGCTCTTCCCTTTACACCAAGTCGTTTTCCTGGTTTTCCTTTGTACTTCCCTTTACACCAAGTCGTTTTCCTGGTTTTCCTTTGCTCGTCCCTTTACACCAAGTCGTTTTGCTGGTTTCCCTTTGCTCTTCCTTTTTGCACCATGTCGTTTTCCTGGTTTTCCTTTGCTCGTCCCTTTACACCAAGTCGTTTTGCTGGTTTCCCTTTGCTCTTCCTTTTTGCACCATGTCGTTTTCCTGGTTTTCCTTTGCTCGTCCCTTTACACCAAGTCGTTTTGCTGGTTTCCCTTTGCTCTTCCTTTTTGCACCATTTCTTCCCTTTGCTGAACGAATCTGTGCGTCTCGTCTCCGCCCTTGCGACGCGCGAGCGCCAAGCCTCGCAGACCATGACGAACATGCTCCCGTCTGAGCTGCTGGACAAGGAGATGGCCTCAGCGCCGGTCTTTCGGAGACCAGGACCTAAGGCCCACACTTGGAACGCCTTTGGCTGGGTCATAGGTGTCCTTTTTGGTTGAAACTAGATTGGTTTTTTCTGGTTGATTGAAGCACCAGTCGCCCTCTATCTTTAACCCAAATCAACAAAAAAGGACACCAAAAAGGGCTGGGTACTTTGAGCCCAAACCCATTCGAGGAGACCTCTTTGACCTAAGTTAAGGGGGTAAGGGTCTGAATCAATAGAAAGAACGAGGCTGTAGGCTGCTTTGCAACCCAACAAGCCACACTAATGTTCATCATGGGAGTAAGTAACACGTGGAATTGTTTCGTTTTTTGCCCCTTCTATTGCCTTGATTCCCTTTGTGAATGTCTTGCCCGGGAACAAAACAACAACACGCAAGCAACTT